TTTTTTCAATGCAACCAATCTTTAGTAAAATAACTGGTCGTTAATTTGCACCATATGGGCCAAAAACACAGTAATGTACTTAGAAACGATTTTACCATGATTTAGATCAATCATGGTATATATGACTGACTGTGTATTCACAATAACTACTACGTGTACATGTAAGGTACTTGATTTTATCATAATAGTCATCATCATCATCCACTGTCTATCCACTCTACGCAAAAGACTAAAAATATAACTAACATGCACGCGATTATCAATCCACTGCACGATGAATGCCTCCCCACACTGTGTCGGTCATGGGCGTCAGTTGACCATGCTTCACCACGCTGGGACGGTTGGGAGGGAGTGGGGCTAAGGCCCATGTGTGCTATTACTGCACTTACAACTGATGGTAGTCATATCCAGAAATCAAACTCTGGTCATGAGCTTCACAGCGTAGTGTAATCACCACTGTGCCACCGCTCCGAAAAAAGTTATTTTAATATAAAGGCAGTGCATCTATGTGTATTGTAGATTTGTATTTATTTTTTAAAATTCCAATTTTAAATCACTCATTATAATACATCTTAAAATGCCTCCTGAGTTATGTCACAAGTTAAATAATGTACACCAAACCTAAAATGTGATGGAATTATAAAGAGTTTTTTGGCATACAAATTTAATTTGTACATGCACCAAAACTCTTAACAGATAAGTACAGGCAATGTGAGAAGCTTACGTCAAGTTTTTGGATCCGAGTAATGTATAACTTATGCAACTTCAGAGAATGCATAAAATGGTGTTCTACGACTCTGTACCAAATAAAATATGTATATTACAAGAAAAAAATACTTAAAACAATCAACATCAAAAAGGCAATCCTTTTATTAAAAGATGTGGGAGTTATGTCAAAAAACATGTTTTCAATGTATTATGTAAATAAATGTGTTATTATTATTGTATTTATTTGCAATATATCAGATTTCCTAAACAGGTCGAGATGGAAGATTTTTGGTTCTCTGTGAATTACCAGCAGGCCACTGGAAACAACAACAATTGGGAATTTTAAAGATGAGGCTGAAAAAAAAATCAGAGAGCGCATCATTACTAAAATGCCTAAGGTCAGTTTTCACTGAGCCTCATGACCAAGATTAAACCATAAATTTTGCCCAAGACCTCTCCTAAAAAAATCGATCCCACCGCACCCATCTCTAACTCAACAGTGAACCAGTCAGAATACTCATCCAGCTGAAGTGGTAAACACCACCTAGCTGTCTCTAACCAGTTCAAAAAGACTAGCTTTGCATTGAGCTCTAAAAATCCCCCAGGCTATTTCTTGCCAAGAAGACACTTTAGAACGGTCTTAAATCATTGCCGGTGATCCACCGTCCTATCCCACCCCCTTCCCCCACCACCTCCCGCACCATCCTGGATTTCAATTCAAACACAGTTTATTGGTTTCCGAGAAATGTGGATGTGTGTGCAACAGCTTGGCGTTTTGGAAGGAACAGTGGAGCGAGTTAAAAATGATGTCGCTCAGGTGGCTGAGAGCCTCAGGGGGTCAAGACACAGGGTTGGCAATTCTGAGGTCGTGCAGTGAAGGTGCAGCTCTTTAGAGCAAGCCAAGTACTTGAGTGCAGTGGGTGTGATGACTCCAGCCCAGTCACCAATGACCGTATAAAAACACCCCGCCCTGAAGCGCTCATCTCCCATTCAGGTCTTTATTCAACCAAGCCCACTATTCCTGCAGTGAATAACGTAAATAATTACGACCTCTTTGTGGGAAGTCAAAAGTCGTCATGCTCTAGATAGGCTGGTCCCTGCCATTCGAAAATGGAACATCCACCATTTTTTCAGGGCCACAAATGGTGATAGGCACCACCCAAGACTCTTTTCAGCAGAAATATATGTTTTGTCTTATTAGGGCTGTCACTTAAAAAACACGACTAGTGCTTACGAGACTATTACGCAGCAAAAATAGATACTTAACACCTTTGGGGAATTATCAAACATATTGAAAAGTCAGAGTAGCCTATGTCTCAATGTAGAGTTGATCTTTTATTATGATAAATTAAGTAAGAAAACACATGAGACTTTTGCAAAAACTGGGAATAAAATAAACAAATTAAATGATTTTGAATACTTGCTGGCATGTGAACATAGCACGGATGGTTTCTATATTTACAGACATCCCAGTGCAATTTGTGCACTAGAACACACTTCAGTAACTGCACAAGAATATTCCCTGGTGCATAATTTTGGATGAAAAATAAAACGAATTAAACTTAGTGTTGCTCATGTAGAATATTTGCTTACATGGGATCACAAACGTAAGCTGGCTTGGGCAGGATTATGTCGCGAGAAAGAATCATGGCAGATGGTGAAGAATAATTACGGAGTGGCAGCCAAAAAATGGAAAGTGTCTGAGATTACATCCACGGAAGGAGGAGACAGAGTGATGAAATCAGCTCATGTGCAGGTACTATGTGGATTAATATATCACAGAATCATGAGAGACGGCTGCAGCTTCGGGAGGCCATCATTCAGGAGTGGATTGACCTTAATTGATGATTCCACATCATGGGTGTGTCCATACACATTTAGAGTCATCAAAGTAGAAGTTATGGACTAGCGCAGCCAATGCACAATCATATCCTCTTGTGCGTCATTTTGATGCTGGTATAAAAAAAAAACAAGAATTGCACTGCTGTGCGATTCACTCCCAAGTGACAGAAACCCCCCCTTTTGTAAAGATGCATCGAGCGTGTGCGTATGTTTGTACAGGTCTCATTTGCCATGTTGGTACATTTTTCTGACATATTTTTCATTACATAAACAGCTGCCTGGAACACTACCCCAATGCCCTTCAAGGCATAATAAGAAACATCTTTAGGAACACACTCTGAAGGAGCGAACAAATTCAATAATAGCTTAATAATCACCTGGGCACAAACATAGCTCGTGTTTTTTGGTTTAATCCCTCTCTGGAAACACAGCAATGTATACATGACCGGTTTCTTTTCTCATCTCAAAACTGCTTCAATCAAAAAGTACTACTATCATACTTTTTTGTAAACCAATTCAGACGTTTAAACCTGAATATACTCAATAATATTAAGCTTATAGATATGGATACAATTATCAAAATAAAAAAATTGTAAAAAAATATTTACCCATAATTGTGTACGCTCATACATTCCACATCCTGCAACTTAAAAGTCACAGCACGTTGCGGATACAACGTGAATTCAAGAGCAGTTCAGTACCAGTAGAAGCCACTAGAAGTGCCAATGGCACTTGTGCTATTAAAAACACCCACTAATGTGTGCTAAATGAGCGACACCAAACATGTCATAATGTCCTACTGGGTCTGCTTGATATTATTTATTGCTCTGTCTGATTTCGAAAGTATTTACGCGAGTTAATACTGCATGAAGACATCCGTTTGGTTAAATGATAGCAGAGTGTTATCACATGGTGCACCACTGCTAAAAGAATGGCAGGGACATGCCACAAGTGTGATGTGACAACACGGAAATGGGCCACCCTGCTTAGAAAATGAAACAGTGCCATCAATAAACCAAAGCACCAAAGTAAAATAACTCTATTATTGGAAAACCAAGCTTACTAATTGTTTCTAGATTTGAATTGTGACCTACAATATTTCTATGGTTAGGTTTGGATTAAAAACATATGCTGAGTTTGCTGTATCTTGGGTTTATTGTCTGTGCTACACGAATGAACAAATGCAATACAATGTGTATTATTTAAAAGCCATTTATATTAAGTACATTTGATAGCGAATTATTGCATACTACTGCAAAGGGCTCTTAAGTAAACATGCAGTTGATAATTTTATGTTTTAACCCTGCTTTTTTTGGAGCAACCTTTAATGAGGTTCTGCTGCCCTCTGCTGACACAGGCGGCCAGAAGCAACTGAAATGTTGAATTATGTGGTGATACCTGTATAATGTATTGGCAGTGGTGGTTTTCCATTATAGAGTTTTTTTTGGGTTAGATCGCGTAAATATATAAATGTGGTCGCGAAAGTCTACGTGTTAAAGTGGTGGTTTTGTTTGCTATACTGTTTTTTTTTAAACTTGCTGCTTTAAATCTTGACTCAAAGCTTTCGTGACTTTAGGAATTCACATTCTTTCGGTGTGTCAAAACATCGCCGCTGGGGAGACAAAGGTGGTCGGGCGTGGTGCTGGCCACCCACCCCCTCGTGTGCCGTGTTGGCCTTCATAGGTGCTCGCTAACAGCACTTGCCCCAACAGTCTGTTCAGGCTATACGGGGGATCTTTGTCTTTGTACAGCTGTGTGGACTGTTCAAATCAAATGGAAATGTTTTGAGATAAAAGTTGAGGCAATGGGATTCCAGTTGGCTTGACGGTACTGCGGTAAGAGTTCAAATCCTGGCCAGGGGGTTGGACTCGGCTCACGATCATTCCACCGAAAGACCCAAATAATATGAATTGCTGCTTTAACTATTGTTCTTGTTTAATATCGCAATCACTTTTCATATTCAATTTTAAACACGTTTTGATAAAAAAAAAGTTTCAATGGAAATGTTTCTATATATTGTAGACAAAAAGGTTGTCTTTTCTATGTTATCAGTTTCATTACTTTCATTGATATCTATTCCAATATACAAAGTGGTTTTGGTGTGTGGTTATGCCACCTATGAATGCTGTGCAGAATATGTTGTAGTGATGAGTCTACGAGTAAAATACAGTATTCCATGTAGAATTCATACATTTTCTCTCTGAATATTGTGAAGCTGCTCAAAACTGCGTATCATTGCATAACAATGTCATGCAACATTTAATCACTACAGTTACAGCATTCTCACTTTGCCATGCAATTAAGTTAACCTGTCAGTTATTTAGATATTTCCTTTAAATATTCATCACACATTCCCCCTGTGAGTCAAAGCTCTACACAAAGAGACATTCATAATTCAGCGCTGCAATTTGTGAGTGTTTGACTGCTGACGGCAAGTGCGTTCCGCTAACCTGTGACGACTGCGCGTTGAATCGAAGGAGAGGTGCGGACGCGAGCGTTCGTCCTCTTTCAGCGAACATTTAGAGGTCTCCTCTGGTGCGTCAAGTGCACCCGTGACCCAGTCCGGGGGTTCCCGGCTCGTCACAATGTCCTCCAGGGGTTCGTCAAAGTAGATGGCCTGCAAGGCATGCGACACATTCGTAAGTCCAATGAAAGCAGCGGTCAGCGCAGGATATTATGAATGAATCGGCTTTCCGGAAGCTAATATTCGTTGATCACCTGAAAGTAGATCACATTCACATGCATGCTACGGCAGTGAGCACTAAGCTTTGTAACAAAGTGTTAGCCTATGATTCGTAAAGCGGTAAGGGACTGCCAAAAGTAGTGATGTGAAGGAAGTAAAAGAGTGTGAATAAGTGCACTCAATTCAGTCCTGAAGCTCCCAGTATGTGCACCGAATGATCAGAAACCATGCCGAACAACACGCAGTACAACCTAAAAACACATCGGAGAGCTATAGAGCATAATCGTGAAAGCCTATGCAGGCAGAATGCACCATGTAAGTCGGCAGCGTCTTGAGGGGCCCCGTGTCAGGCCTGTGAGTGAATGGCTCCTCCAGCACACTCCGGCGCAACATGTGCAGCAGCAGACGTGCGTAGTCATTGCGGTTCTTGCGGCTTGAGGTGCCCAGGGCTCCACTGCGAGCTACCGGCGGCTCACAGAGCTTCTTGATCCACAGTGCGCAGCGTTGCCGATCTGTGGACAACGCGCCAGCAACAGTTACATTCTACAACTCACAATCAACGTCTGCAGAATCCTTATCCAGTGTGGAATAAATTATCTCTCCTCCAGTAAATCACTCAATGGTCAAAAATGAGGTTTATGATTCTACCCAAAAATAAATTTTTAAAAATCCCCCATTTTTTAATTCGTTATATTAAGTTAGCTTGCTTGCTTGCTTGCGCGATTATGACCGTGCAAATCTTTCGGTCGTTTTTTATTTAAATTCTTTATATTAAGTTCGCTTGCTTGCTTGCTTGCGCGCTTACGACCGTGCAAATCTTTCGGTCGTTTTTTTACCCACTTCCCGTGATCCAATCGAGCTGACATTTTGCACACAGACTCGTTGTGCGTGACAATTAATTTTCGTGAAAACATTTTCCAAAATTTTACACGTTTTAGGAAAAAAAAATTACATGTAATTACCAATTGCTTAATGGTTGCAAGCAATCTTCTGACCCATAGGTGGCAGCCATCTCAAGCCAGAGGACGAGAGGACTCTAGCCGCCACGCATATAAAGGATTTATAGTGAAAAACTTTGGTTTTACGGGTTAATTTTTTACCATTATATTTGTATTGATTGTTTGTCATTCATTCAATATCATTTTGGAAATTTAGTTTGCAGCATTGAATTTGCATATGATCTTCATACATTGTAAATAATCTATTCATAAACACATGATTATAAATATTTTTCCCATGTAGCCTAGAATTTGTTACATTTCCACATCACCATTGGGCCTTTGAGAGTTTATAAACCTAACTTATCTTTTATTTCTGCCATAATCAACTCATTTGTCAACAGCATCAATGGCATAAAATCAACTGAAATAAAAGGACTTCATGTGAAGCAGTGGCATTTATGGACTGATTAATTTGAAAATAACATCCTAGGAGCACTTTCCTGAGGTAAAATCTATATTATAAAGATGTAAAATTTCTAAATTTTAGCATAACACAAAGGATTGCTCATTATTGGTAAAGTCTGACTGTGAGTGCTGTTGAGCCACTTTGATGAGCACATTCTAAAACAAGATGAAAAACTCCTTGAATGCTTAAGAATACAGAGCAAAATACGAGTGAAGTTCACGTGAATTTTGAGAAAAGCATACCCAGTGTGACCAAACACATTACAGGATCAGCTAATAAATAAATATAATACCTTATGTCATGCCAATAGCATCTTACACTACAATGTTAAATGTGTATTCGAACACTTACACTGTCTCGCGTCTTAAGTGGTTATAGTCTCTTGAAAAGTGCAGTAAGATGGGTTTTTATAAATCTATATCTATGAGTGTCCTTCTGGAAATGCTTGGTTGTTCATTCATTGGCGTATATTGACCCTCTTGAAAAACTCTACCAGGATACGTAACATATTTCATAGCAGCGTTTTGCTCTGTAGCGTGTTATTCAAAAACAAAAGAATGAGGGAAACTCTCAATCCACACTGAACACTCACGACTTCCCACAACAGTGGTACCTATTGTATACACCCCAAAGCAATAACACGACTGCACCAACCGAGATATGAACTTGCAGTATTCTAATTGCATGGCAAGCAGCAGCGCCACGGTGACGAGATGTCAACTACCTCGCCCGGTCGTGGGTTCCATCCCAACCCCGACCTTGACGCATGTATATTATTGTTTGCATGTTCTCCAGGTGATCACGTGGATTTTTCTCCGGGTCCTCCGGTTTCCCCCTCCACCTTTAGAAACATGCCTTTCGATTGTTTGGCTGCTAGAAATGTCCACGTGATAAGCCACTTGGTTGAGCTATCATTTGTGGCTCGGTCGCTTCTGAAAAAGAGCTGTATAGGCTGAGTGGGCCTGACCAGGCAAAATAAATAACAGTACTGAAACTACAACACAACTTGCCGTAAATGTTTATAATTTCATGGAGCAAATAAGACACCCCCCCGCGAGATTGGGTGCACCATATTTTTTGGTTCCTTCGGTAAAGCCACGTAGGTAGAACAATAAAGATTGGGTGCACAATGGTCATTACCAGACTTGTGTGGAAGCTTGAGTACAAAGGGCTTCATATCAACAAGAAAATGATCGAAGTCTCCATCCAGTTTCTCACAGGCATCCTCGTGGCTCTCCATCTGCACACACGTCGCATCGAGAAAGCACATTCAGAATGTTATATTATATAGAGAGTAAAAACTGTCACGCAACTTTGGCAATATTCATCTTCTTGGTTCTTTCGGTAAAGTCACGTAAATAATAAAAATAAAACATAATAAATAAAAAAAGTTATTATGTTTTATTTTTATTATTTTATTATTTTCCTCCTACGTGACTTTACCGAAAGAACCAAGAAGATGAATCCCTGCAGTCACGAAAGCTTTAAATCGAAATTTGGCAATATTGTACTGTACTGGCAACATGCACATCTGAAAGTAGATTGCATGCTTCCAGATGGTCTCATGATGAAGCTGCTGTGACTACAAAACAACAATTATCATTTAAAACTCCATCGATCAAAACTGCATTTTCCAAAGTATTAACATTTTACTTTGCGGGGATGGGTTACACATCCAGTGTTCGTGATCCTTGTAGACCTGAGCAGGTATACTGGAGAGAGAGAGGCACGCATCAACACAATCGAGTACTCGGCGAGAGATGAAATAAAATGTCGATTTGAAGTTTTCGTGACTGCAGGGATCCATACTCTTTGGTTCTTTCGGTAAAGTCACGTAGGTATAAAATAAAATTAAAATAAATTAAATCACGACGTTTCGATTGCAACACAAGCAGCAATCATCATTACCACGGCAACTCTCTCTCCCACTTCAGCAAACAAAAATGTATTGCTGTGGTTTTCCCACCTGATGATGATTGCTTGTGTTGCAATCGAAACGTCGTGATTTAATTTATGATCATATTATATTTTATACCTACGTGACTTTTACAGAAAGAACCGAAGAGTATGAAAAAATATGTGTTCCCTTTACCAGCCCGTCTTCACCAGTGTGCAGTACAGTATTGTATGTTTAAACAAAATCCTCCTAAATGACCGACTCACCTGAATTGTGAAAACATAATACCGCTCTCTTAAAACATATACTAATTGTATGGTGCCATTAAGACGTGACATGTGCCAGCGTTGTATTTATTGTGCAACAATATTGTTTCACTAAACCGCTCTCTCGAAAGTAAATGTATTCATCTTCTTGGTTCCTTCGGTAAAGTCACGTAGAAGGGAAGTAATAAAATAATAAAAATAAAACATAATAAAATAATTCTCACGACGTTTCGGCCACAACGCCTTCTCGACAGACCTGCTCTCCACCTGAAGACGGCTGCTTGCGTTGTGGCCGAAACGTCGTGAGAATTATTTTATTATGTTTTATTTTTATTATTTTATTACTTCCCTTCTACGTGACTTTACCGAAAGAATCCCTGCAGTCACGAAAGCTTTAAATCGAAAAGTAAATGTATTGTTTTATTTTACTGACCTGGAAGGGGGTGACGGTGGTGGTGTTGGGTGCGGCTTCGTAGATGAATCGACCGTGGCGGGGATTCGAAAACTCACGCCCTTGTACTCGTGAATCCGTGCTGCTCAACCGATGCGAAGTTATCTTTAATCAACACTGAAGAGGCCAGAGGATATACGATCATCGAGTAATAAGGGACAATATAATAACGTGTTGACTTACGAGTGGGCGACAAACACAATGGGCATATCCCCGAGGGTAAACAACAGGTGTGGCTTCGAAGTTACGTCACTTATCGTCTCGATATTTATTTTTTTCAAAATCCCGGTTGCTAAGCGCAGGCCGCAAAGGTCCAACACGCCAAGCGGCCAGCAATGAACAGCACCTAATTCGAGATTTGAAGTTTTCGTGACTGCAATGATTCATACTCTTTGTTTTTTTCGGTAAAATTTATATAAATTAAATCACGACGTTTCGGAGGAAAACACAAGCTTCCGTGTTGCCTCCGAAACGTCGTGATTTAAATTTTTGGGTTTTTTCGGTAAAGTCACGTAGGTAAAAAAATAAAATTAATAAAAGTAAATTATTTTTACCTACGTGACTTTACCGAAAAAGAACCTAAGAATATGGATCCTTGCAGTCACGAAAGCTTCAAATCTAGAAGTCATGATTTAATTTATTTAAATTTATTTACATTTTTTACCTACGTGACTTTACCGAGAAAACCGAATAGAATGAACAGCACCATTCGAGGTTTTAATAAGAGTTCCTGAAATCCATCTCTTGAATTGGGCACCGTACTGTATAATATATAAAATATATACTTTTGAGTGTTTAGTTTGTTGTCCTCACGCGCCTCCGATTAGTACGTTTGGCTACGTACGGTGCGAAAGAAGTTCCACATACAGTACATAATAAATGGGGGATATATAACATTAGAGGAAATTCCCAAGCCAAGCTGTGTGAGGGCAACACAGTAAATTTTGATATAAAGCTTTCGTGACTGCAGGATTCATATTCTTGGTTGTAAAATATTGTTTAATATTTATATTATTTTATTATTTCCCTTCTACGTGACTTTACCGAAAGAACCAATAATATGGTAACACAGTAGTTTCATGATCAGACTGTAGTGTAACAATAACGGCGTTATTCGATGTTGCGCCGTTTAACTTAAAGAGTTAAAACGCCACAGGGCCTAGGCCACAGCGGCGTGCAACTCAACTCCGCCGCTAAAATCACATCACATCACTTCGCAACGTTCAATAAAACAACACACCACAACGTTAGTATTCAGGACATGAGTGCAGCCGTAACTTCACTCACCGCATATATACGCTGGAGTATCTTTGTAACAAACAAACAAAACTAACTTACAATGTTTACAAATCAACTACCAACACAAAACAACCCACGCGCTTAATTTCCGTCAAATCCGTCATTCAAACTTCCTTGCTTTTCCCGGCATGCCTAGCGCGGCCAGGCAGCTGCTGATTGGGTACAAGCGGAGGGAGGGGGGGGGCGTGTGAAGCCGTTGCCATGGAGACGCGGCACGCCGTTGCCGCGGTAACAGGTCGCCAAGGGTCCTCCATGTGGAGGGGGGAGGATGGGGGGGTTGCTATGGTAACGGGGTCGCGACCCCCCCCCCCCGCCCACCTTGCCCCCACCTACTTGGGCGACCACGCGAACCTTTAAGAGGGATCACGTGGCTCCAGGCAGACGCCTCGGTCTCTGTGGCGCAATCGGTTAGCGCGTTCGGCTGTTAACCGAAAGGTTGGTGGTTCGAGCCCACCCAGGGACGCGAGTTTATTTTGTTAAACATTTTTCACTGCAGTAATTATACAACAAGGCGGTAATTAGTAGGTAAACGTATCTCTTGGTTTTAGGCTATATTTGCAATGACCTTACTATTGATGATTGTGTTGTGCAGATGTATATACGCGTTCTCTGGTATGTGTAGCGCCGCCTATGGAGACTTGTTGACACTGACACAATAACGGGCAGCAACTGAAACACAATTTTGATTACAATTAAAATACACAAGGTAAAAACAATTCAGAGTAAACGATTAAGACTGAGCGACGTAATATTAAAACACGCAACGGACGGAGTTCAATTATCCCAAAGAATAGTGCAACATAAATAAGCCGACAATATCCCTCTCTCCAGGTAAAAAAATATATTAAAATATTTATTACACAATCCATCAGCGCCACGGCCGTCTGGGAGTGTATAATTTCAGCAACATTGATTTAAGATAAGAAAACTCTGGAGCAAAGCAAATGCGATGGATTGCAGGCAATATTACGATAATAAATTACAGAATGTTCAATGCCCTCTCCTTGACCTTACCAGATTTCTCTCTGTGATATGTTGCTTAAAATTCAGTGACATTCACCCTTAGTTTCCAGTAATTTATATTGAAAACTAAAGTATGTATCACCATTGGAACCTCCTTTGCCAGTAGCAAAATATGATAATTGTTTTTTTACCCTTTTATCTGGCAACAAAACTGACACCTTTTACAATGGTGTAAATGCTTACCCCGAGCTCTCATACTCTGATGGTGCAATGTCTTTGAGTTGTGCGCCTTTTGGCGTCATCTGGTCCAACACCATGTGAGACTAGGCTCTAAGAAAAGCTGTCTCGGGTGTGGACCAATCAATTTCAAGGACAGTGCATACATTATCAGAGTTGTGGTTTTTGTTTGCATTCCGACCGCAGGTATTGTGGTCAATGCAAACATGACTCCTTGTAAAAAAAAGTGTCAGTTTTGTTGCCAGATAAAAGGGTAAAAAAACAATTTTTGTCGCACTGTCCATAATCAACTGTGTTAATCGCAGGTGCATGAGGACAACAAAGGCGTGATGCCACTAAGCATACCGTTGTTGCTTAGTTGCATAAAATTATACAACGAAAAAAAGTTCACCTTGAAAATGTCAAAAGCTCCTAGTAGATATAAAATATAACTACAAACACTCGTGTATTTACAATGTATACTCTTATTCCAAGGACTGTAGTTACACGTACATTTAACTCCTGGAATTACACGCAAACATACATTTATCTTGGCATACCACGCTGGTACGAGTCACGATGGCCATCTCTGGCATCGTGTAAATAACGACGCATTTATATTTGCACGATCTCACCCAAAAATAAAACTTTATTATGAACACCTCAATCCAGCAAGAGGGATTGCAATGCCACAGTTGGCTGGTCCACCGATGCCCTCCCTACTCGCTGCTCAGAACCCGCTCCCTATAGAGGACCGGGTTCCACAGAACTAAATGGGGAACGGAGACACCCTCTAAAAACACTGGTCTACAGCCAAAATGCTTCCGAAATAAATGTAGTCCAACTTTACTAATTCTGGGCCACTGAGACTGAAAATGATGCTTACAATTGTTTATTGGCTCTAGTTTTCAATATATGCTACTTGGTCAGTATATACGACCCTTCACTTGGGAATAGCGGAGGATAAGTGAGTTGTAAAGGGAAGGGATCTACATTTAAGCCAGAAATTACTAAAATACATCTTTGACTGGATCTTTGAATAAATCTATGACTGGGTTTTGACAGTACTTGCTTTTTGAGCAAAACAATGAATGATGCAATCTGAACCTGGTATTGCATCATACACCATATGAATTGCATCATGTTATTCCTAGAAGTCATGATGATGCAATCATAACTAGGCTTATGTCCCTCTGCTGAACAAATTGCCCTATATCAGCTCTAGAAATCATACAGTGTTGTGCTCTCTTATTCTGTTTAGCAGCTTTCCGCCTCTAGCCACGGACCAAGATATAGGATGGGTCCATCTCACACCATCCCCTGATCAACACCACCAGGAGAAAGTCTGGCAGTAACAAAGACAAAGACCCCTCATATAGCCTTTACAGACTGTTCGGGCAAGTGCTGTAACCGAGCACCTATGAAGGCTGGCACGGTACACGAGGGGGTGTGTGGCCAGCACCACGTCCGATTGTCTTTGTCTCCCCAGTGGGGATGTCATTTGAGGCTGAGTCGACCTCGAGGGATGCCCAGGACCGGTTCAGATACTCGTCACTGGTGTTGGTCGTGTGCGGGAATCAACCTCGAGTAACCAGGTTCGTAGCGCAGCGCACTAACCGCAACACAACAACCATTCACTACGGTGAAATCCCCATAACGCTTCTGCACTTTGAAACCACTTCAAGTGTTAAGAGCTCGCTGACAGGTCAGGTGATATGACCAACAGATAGATGCACTACACAGTACCTGTGTCCCCACTGTGCCAACTTGCTGCGTTTAATCCAACCGGAACTCCGCTCATACAAGAAAGATAAAATCAAGAATCGTTTAAATCATGCATTGTCAAAATGTATCCTTCATTTGTGAAAATGCAAGCCAGAAATTCACCCGTATCTCACGTGCATTTCATAACGAAAGTGGTTTTTTTTTTCAGAAAGGCGTATTTAATAGACGGTTATTTAGAGTTCCAAAATAACTCTGAAGTTTAAATAAAATCGTTGCACATGCATGTAGAAAAAGTATGCTTGTCCGCACAGTATATTTTATCCATATGCAAATAAGCCAAATCCAGCATATGCAATTTAGATACCACTCATTGTATACGGTATATTTATAGTTTCAAATTGATTCAATATTGATGCGTTTACAATAAAATCCGCTGTTAAAATTGTTTTTTTACTGCTGAACAGCAGGTGGTGTCAGTTGAATTTAATTTCGTGCACATCCGTTGCGATTATATTTTATACTGGTTATTATATAGCACGCCTGTACTACATCTGTTTTGCTATTGGTAAATAATTATCTAGATTGCTGATAACCACCATTAAGTTCATAACTAAAATCCGTAAAATTCTGCTATTTTTGATTTCCAAAGCTTCATATCGCATGGAATGATTTTAATTCCATAAAATGCAGTTGGTTCTACTGAATTTAGCTAGCGTTCACAGTTGACCTAATAAATTTACTTTGGTTACCCTAAGATTCTGGGTATGTATTGACTTACGTTGCCTTTTGTCATTAACATGAGCACAGAGAAAGACCCAATCAGAGCCATTGGCTCCCCATCTATAAAAGTACGCGTTACAAGGGACAAGCATTTAAGTCGGACGTTACGTTCAAACTTGAAATCTGGGAACATAATTAATAGGTACGTCTTGCAATGAAAAACGAAACTAAAATATAAAATGTCTTCCGTTAATTATGTAATTGTATTTACATCTGTTGCGTGGCTTTTTTGTATTTTAACATATATTGCCGACCAAGGAATGGTGCCAAAACAGTAATTTATCTTGAATATATAATCTCAGCATATCTATCAAGGTAGCTCCATTTCAAGAGGAAAGTGCACATATTTGAAACGTATTTCTACGTGCACTTGCAGTCTTATTACCACCTCAATTTACACACCGCGTTAACTTAATAAAAATAACAATCTCCAAGCATGGTAAATTACAACCTGAGCAGGTGTTATATCAACGAGCTATTCTCGCAATATACGGTGCCACTGCTGCTCATGGAGACCGTTGTGGGTTTCCTGGGGAATGCGTTCGCCTTGTGGATTATCGCTTGGCGCATCAAGGATTGGACCTGCTTCACGATCTACATGCTCAATCTGGTGCTCAGCGACCTCCTGTTCGTGCTCGTCGCACCCGTGCGCTCCATCTACTACATGTACGACAACCAGTGGCCCTTCGGCGAGGCGGCGTGCGACATGCTCATCACCGTCACCTACATCAGCCTCTACGGCAGCATCTTCTTCCTGACGTGCATCAGTGCCGAGCGCTACTTCGTCATCGTTCACCCGACGAGAGCGTTCCGCAACCGCTCGCTCACCTCCGCCAAGCTGGTGAGCCTGGCCGGCTGGGTCACGGTGCTGGGTGGACAACTCAGTCTGCCATTCATCTTCCACACGACCGCCGACGCACTGGACGCCAATGCGACGCGCTGCATGACCTTCAACTTAGATGACCTCTACCCGAGCTACAACACGTGGAGCTCCGTGGTCACCATCGCATTCTTCTTAGTGCCCTTCACGGTCATGAGCATCTTCCACGGGCTCATCACGCACAATCTGCTCTACCAGACGGCGCTAGGCGTGCGTGTGGCCAGGGCTCGGCGCAGAGCGGCCAGGCTGGTGGTGCTGGTGCAGCTGATAGTGGCCATCTGCTTGACGCCTCTGCACGTGGTGAGGCCACTGATGACCGCCAGCAGCATGCTGACACCGACCAAATGCGACCTGCTGCAGGACCTCGCTAAAGGCTTCTTCATCAGCATGTCCATGAGCGGACTCAACAGCTGCCTCGACCCGCTGCTATTCTACCACTCGGGCGGCAAGTTCAGGAAGGAGGCGAAGGCTGTCGTCATGACCCTGCTCTGTCGAGGATGTGTGTGCCCGGCTAGACCGAGGACGAGGAGTGAAATGCAAGCTTCTGTCATCGATGTTGAGCCGTCGCTCAATTCCAATCGTACTTGAGCAATTTGACGTGCACGTGTCTCGTCAACGTCAAGATGTTTTGCTTCAAAACTTTGCATCGAGGCGGTGCTCATCTCCTGTATACAGCCCTGCTTTCAGGGGTGGACAACAAATGTTCACTTCGCCTATACGAGATACTTATTTTACCGGCTCCGAAGGTACAATGGGATGAGTCAAACCAAGGTTTTCCACGCGCTTACTTTGCGTCCTCCTCCATATGGCTTTGATAGTCAATGGACACCATCGAGGGAAGCTGAATGTATGTCTGCTGTACCAGACTGTAAGTCTGCATGCGAATCCTCGGGTATTATTCACCGCTAAGCCGCATGTCAAGCACGAGGATAAGGGAACAATGGGACATTTCTGGGCATTGTTGAGGAAAGTCTATGGGGTTACTGGGAGATTGATTGGGCAGGACACATCTACAGAAGGAATGGTGGCTGAAGGACAATACAGTAAGTCTGCACTATAAGTGATAAACATGAGAGACCCAGTCGTAAGTCACTTGCAATCAATTATATCATCCATGTTGGCATCATGACAGCCACAGTGGAGATCGATGAAATAAGCTTGAGTGCAGATCTTGGGTGGATTGTTACATCGCTGGATCATGGTAGACCTTCATTCATCCAGCATGCTAAGAGACGATTCCGTATATGTATTACAGCATTGTGACACAGAAGTAAGTGGGTTAGTAAGAAGTGGAGTGAATTGGTCATATGAGGCCAGTATAAACCATGGCACGGGTAAAGAGCCACATTGACTACCATTCTAAGAGCCACGGGTCACAACCTGTATTACACACTGGTACTTTACAGAGAATGTGCCTATTATTACAGTAAAACGATCTATTTCATTTGGCAGATTCATCACTGACTGGCGAGCATGAATATAAAATGTATGAGGCTATGACAATGCTGGCAAGTACAGAAGTTGCTTTAAATCGCCATGTTTTTGTATATAATGTGCATTTCACTATATATACAAATTATACAAATGTGTGTCTTTTAGCTTGCTCGACTGTGGACTGAATGTGTATATATGGTTTAGGTTTCCAATGTAATCGAGGATTAACTCTGGACTATGCATCGATTCACTGGTATCTCCTTGGCCATCTCGCAATGTGTAGACTTCTCTACGCTGTTCTTACGCTCCTGTACACCCCGTTTTAACAAGAGGCAGCCAGTGTGGAGACATCACTAAATCCCGAACGGGCTTTTGCAAATTGACGGTGCAAGCATACCCCACTCCAACTCTGCATGTAGTGCCCACTCATTATTCACTGCCAATTGACGGTTGAGCACGTGAATTACGGAACAACATTCACGGACATGCAGTATTCATTCAAGGTTATTATTATGCTTGTTTACCCGGGAAATCCTCACTTAGTCTCGTGGCTATCAGGAGGGTCCTGCCAAGTTTTTCGCACGAGGAGGCGATAATTTCTATGTATATTCCATTTGAGTCAATTATAAGTAATTTTTCAAATTTGGCAGATGTGGACAGTCTCAGTAAATATACAAGGTTGGGTCAACATTGGCACGTGGTTGAAACTGTTGGACCAACTTCTTGGCCCAACGTTCCATGTTTACTGGGATAATACCGGCACGCAATCGCATTGTCTTTAACGTCAACTGTGACGCAGGTGGCACGTGTTTTCTGCTTAGCGCACCTGCATTATTAACCAGGGCAGCCGCTGGATTTCAACCGTGAACCTCTGGTAGCTTAAGCGAACCGGCTACCGCTAGGCCACTTCACTGCTAGGTCATGGCTTATAAAAAAAAAGTGGTTGAGTTATTGGTGGTGGGAAAGACACATTTACAAAAAGAATGATAACCGATGGATCATACATATTGTAATATAAACATACTATGTGGTTCTTTCGGTAAAGTCATGTTGGTAGAAAAATAAAATAAAACAGTGTAACAGTTCCACTGCTGGATTATTTTTCTTACCGCCCGAGGACGACCGCCTGCGTTGCGATCGAAACGTCGCGATATATTATTTTTTGTTTTATTTTATTTTTCTACCTACGTGACTTTACCGAAAGAACCAAAGAGTGTGGATTCCTGCAGTCACGAAAGCTTCAAATTAATATAAACATATTAAATCCATACACGTTAAATTAATACATATGCATAGTAGACATTCAGTTAATATTAATTTAACATGGAGATCTGAGGCTCAGTAAAACAAAGTGGCTCTCCGTTGGGTTTTTGGGTTGTATTGTGTGTTGGAACTGAGAAAACTCCCATTACATGGGACGAAACGTCAGACATTGTGCTGAACAACATGCGGTGCAACTCAAAAACACATTCAAGAGCTACATAGCACCACAAATTGTTAAAACATATGCAGTGGTAAGACATGCACATGATGGATTTAGCAATATGTGGCATCACCTACAACTGGTGTCCAAAAAAAAGACCCGCGTTGACTTGCTTAGAGCCGTGGGCCACAAACATGTATGACCGAATACTCATACTGTGCACATATTTATAATGTATCATGTTACCAGCAACAGATATAAAATTAAATCTTGAGAAAGGCTAGCGATATATGAGAAAAATCAATATATGTAATGAGATGTATAAACTCATTATTAACTGAAAATGTCTTAAATTATGCACCTCCATGTTTGCAGATTGCATAGTTAATTATAAATTTTTTTTAAAATACATTGACGTCAGATTTGAGAAAATAATTGTGAGATGTCAGAGAAAATAGTCGATCATTTAGGGATGGTCAAAAAACATTGATACATCGGTAACAGATGGTTCAGATATTTCAATTATTTGCACATTGATATTGATCCCTCTGATACGATCGAAACATCGTTGTTTTCATCTTCTTGGTTCTTTCGGTAAAGTCACGTAGAAGGGAAGTAATAAAATAATAAAAATAAAACATAATAAAACAATTCTCACGACGTTTCGGCTACAACGCAAGCAGCCGTCTTCACCTGAAGACTTTACCGAAAAAACCAAGAAGATGAATCCCTGCAGTCACGAAAGCTTTAAATCGAAATCGTTGTTTTCCTTTCAATGTTTTGCTGTTTTTAATATCGATAAAAAAGCATATTTAAAATAAATATTTGTTGAAAATAATTAACTTCCCGCTCCAAATGTCTGTGACAGGTTTATATCCTGGAGATAGGTTTCAAGTCAATATTCTGTTTATTTTTTAAAGATATTAATAATTTGTTTTACTTAATAGTAAACATTTGTTTGGGATATGTATAGTTCGTCCCTCTAAATAGTTAATAAAAAAACACATGTCGTTCAAATATTTTAGTATACATCCATGATTTCATTAAAGCAATGATTGTTCAATGTTTATTTAATGTTCTATCCCTACATAAGAAAGAGATTACGTCAGATATGCTAATAATTGTGAAATAGCCAGTATATGCAATCCATCATTTTTAAATGGAAAGCATTTCCATATTTTGAGTGTGTTTTGAACCATGTCTCATTGTATAATGCTGTCAATTTTACCATCACGTGTTTCATCAGAACTTAATTTTGCAAGGCTTCAGCTATGCATATTTAACTGTTGATTTTTAATAAAGTATAATATAAAAGGGCAATCTTTCGTGTGGTATGAAAAAGGGTCATTGCCCGAAACTTCACCTGTTATGGTATTCATGTTAAGGCCAGTGTTAATGACCAATGTTGAAATTCATATATATCGAAGGGACAATATGCACGTAGTCTACAACTCGTACAAAAATTTTTAATATAAACACGCATTTATATGAATCCATTTACTTTTATAATTCCAAGTACGCCAATAGCAACACAAGCAATGCGCGTAAGTAAATTATATACACGTTGAACTTGAACGCATACAAATGAAAAGTGTATTGATTAGTATTCTTGGTTCTTTCGGTAAAGTCACGTCGAAGGGAAATAATCAATATAAAACAATAAATACTGTAATTATCACGTTTCGACTGCAACACAAGCAATCGTCATCAGGTGTGAAATCCACAGCAATAATTTTTTTTCAAATTTTCTTGCTGTGGATTTCACAATTTTTTTTCAAATTTTCTTGCTGTGGATTTCACACCTGATGATGATTGCTTGTGTTGCAGTCGAAACGTCGTGATAATTTTTTATTGTTTAATATTTTTATTCTTTTATTATTTCCCTTCTACGTGACTTTAACGAAAGAACCAAGAATATGAATCCCTGCAGTCACGAAATCTTTAAATAATTTTTTTTTTATTAATTAGATTTGTTTTTTTTATGTTCTTATCACCATAAGGGGTTGGGGAACAGATAGTGAACGAAACCCATACACGTTCCAGCACACAACAGCGCGTGGCCACAACCCAAGAATCCCAAACACGAAGTCACGTGACCCACAAGCGCGCGCAGGGCGGGGCGGGTGGGGGGGGGCGCCAGAAAGGAAATTACATTTCCCACCCAGCATAGGAGCCACCGGGCAATTTCACGCCTCGCGATTGGACGCCGCCTCTCTCTAGCCCCGCCCCCACCCCAACATCCGCGTTACAATTGGCCAGCCTGAGCGCGCGCTCAAAGCCCCCCTCCCCCCACCTCTTTTACGACGACCAATCGCGTGCGTGCGTGTCGACCGCGCTATCCTTATGCGCTGTAGAGATTGCAAGAGGGTCGTGGTGTGTGGAAGTGGTGGTGGTGGTGTTGGCCCCACGGCCTGCTGGTTGCTGCCGGGCCCCGCTTCTCGACTTGCGTGAGGGTTTGCCGCGGTTTTTTTTCTCTCTCTTCTTCTCTTCATTTGCTTCGCTTGATCTCATTAGTTGGCGGCGGTGGTGATGAATGCGACCGACCGACGATGTGTGATTGTCGAACGCGTTTTTGTAAGTAGGGCACGCGGGCAGATTGGAGCGAAGCGAGTTTTATGTGGCGATACGGTTTGGCTAGTCTAGTGTGAGGCCCCAATTGCCGCCCTGAGGTGAAATTCGCAATTATACGATGAATAAAGTGCGGCGCCACTTAACCTTTTGTGTGTATTGCGATGTAGAAAGTATCGCCGATTTAAAAGTCTTATTTTTGAGCTACCCATGGACAACAACTTCACTCGTGTGGAGCGGTGTTGGTGGCATTGTCTCATTCGGCCCACGTGTATAGTGAAAGAGGGTTTATTGTTGGCTCATTTCTTCGATTTCCATAACGTTTCTTGGTGTTAGACGGAACTACTCTTCAATAATGTGCGTTGAACGCTATACAGTATTTATGGAAAATGTGGGCCATGGCCTAATTTTTATGAAAGTAAAATTAGCCCCTATTGGTGAAGACTTGTCTTTGAATTACGAACCTTTATTCAAGAAAGCTTAACCGAGTTTTTGTAAGTTCCTGCATTGGCATGTTTGGTCAATTCCATGCATGTGGCAGGAAGCTTAAGGACGTGGAGAAATATCACGCGCACAAAAGAATAACATTGAAAGGTCCCACAGTGGGGTTCATGAACTCACTTGACATATTGCCATCTCCTTGACCATCGCACAACGCAGAAGTTACATAATAGTCTAGTTTTAAAGTTATGTATCGTGTATATTCATTCGCAGAATGTGTTATTGGGTGGTGACAAGTTGGAATTTGCACATTGGCACGCACAGTTGTGAGATTTCTTTAGACGCTAGAAAAAGACATCTGCTTTTAAGGAGGCTGGCTACACTGCTCTCAGTAAATTATATCTTGCTGGGATTCATAGAGTAGCCAGCAAGGTTGATTAATATTTGGTTTAGATGTATGCAGTATCTCGCACATGACTCGAAATTCACAGCACGTCAGTTCTAATTTCCAGTAAGATATTGAAACCTGTACCGGTTTTAGGCGTCCTGAACCCTTCACAAATCCACACTCACTAATGTGGTGAGCTATGGTCATAAAACCCAAACGACATGGCAAAAAAAAGGGCCTCATCCAACAGTAGATTGAGAAAGGGCTACACGTTAAGTAATTTAAAGTTTAGACTCTCATTTCCAAATTTACCTCTGATCAGTACCCAAAATGTTTAATGCTGGTCTATGTCAATGTCATTGTGGGTTCCTTCTCATCTTTCAATACATTCAGCCAGTTGAACAACATTAATTGTGGTCTGCACTGTGTTTAGGATGCACCTGCTCAAGTTTTAAAGAAAAACGTTTTTGTAGCTGCTCTCAAAGTCAACCATGGCGGCCGCAGCAGTGGCGGCGGCAGTGTCGAGCATCAACCCGCGGCAGGACTTCCCCGCGTGGCTGGCCGCTCACGGCGTGAGCCTCAGTGTGGCCGAGGCCGTGGACAGGGAGCTGGGCATCGGCGACTACGAGGCGTTCCTGGCGTGCGCCGAGCAGCCCCACGTCAGGGCTGAGCTGTTCGCTGCTGCCAGGGAAAGGCTGCCCTTCGCCTTCTACGCTGTGCTGCGCCGCGTCACTGAGGCCTCGTCTCCCAAGCGCCACGACGGAGCAGGGGTAGCTGGAGGAGTACTCCAGGCCACTGCGGCAGCCACTGCTTTCCAACCGTTCCTCAGCGGCCTCCTGGACGCCATCGTTCTCATGCTCAACAGTCTGAGCCAGGAGCTGCTGCAGTCGGCCGAGAGGTTCAGCTGCCTGGAGCCTGCACTCTACCCTAATGCTGTGGAAGAAGGCCTGAGCCCGTATTTACAAGAAGACGGTATTGTTAATCACAAAACAGCCAAAGAAATGCAACTTTGCTGTGGCTATTGTCTGGCTGATTGGTGCTGAGGTCAAAGTGCTCAACTCACAATTCAAAGGGTCATAAGTTCAAATTCCGATTGGGGGTTGACTCAACCCATCTCCCCTGTGAGGTTGATTAAATTAGTGTCACTGTGAAAGACAATTGTCCTGTAGCAAGACTTGTCCCATCAATATGATTGTGAAATTATATCTTCTCAGGGTTGCCAGAGGAGATGAGCACCACATTATGCTTGTTTGAGCATAGAGAGACGGTTTGAAATGGCTGTGTCATTTAGTTTTTGTTTAAAATAAAATTACCAAACACCTAAATCTTGACTTAAAGCTTTCGTGACTGCAGGAATTCATATTCTTTGGGTTTTTCAGTAAAGTAACGTAGATCGGTTCAAAGAAAATAACAAACGTTCGTCATCAGGATGACGAATGCTTGTGTTGCGATCGAAACGTCGTAGTTTTTTTGGTTACTTTCTTTGAACCTATCTACGTGACTTTACCGAAAGAACCAAAGAGCATGGATCCTTGCAGTCACGAAAACTTCAAATCTAGAATTTAACGAAAGACCCAAAGAATACCAAACACCTTTTTTATTCGTTCACAGATATCAAGGATCTACAGCTTCACAACTGAAAATGTACAACTTATTAATAGTTCAAAAGTCACCCCAGTTCACTACTCAGTAGTTGGTCAATATGTGTATATTGGTGTATGCTTATTATGGTTTCATTAAATATGTGTACATTCATGCTATCAAACACGATATGAAGACAAGGACTGAATAATGTTATATCTTGTGGTTTTACTTTTCATACTTTACAGAATGCTCAATGTATTATTAATGTAGGTGAGTGCATTTCTGTATTGTTGGAAGATTAATGAAACGCCTCAATAAGTCATCTTTGTTTTGCTTTAAATTGCGTTTTTAGATGGAGGAGAAGTCTATGAGACTGATGCCCCTGCAGTGCCTGATGGACCCCCTGAGGATGCACAAGACAACCAATCCCAGTCTTGGGAAGATGGTAAACTTCAGTGACGTCATGCCACGACATTTTGACTTCCATGAATCGGTATCACTGTATCTTGTGTGCCTGTGCATGTATGTACATATATGCATGCGTTTACAAGCTAGTACAAAATAAATACATGAATAAGTCTGTAGTTTGATACGAGATCTTATTAGTGTGAAATATAGAAATGTTCTGCATACTTTATGTATTACATTGTGATCAAATTGCCGAGCTGTATTCATCATTGAGCTGCTTTTTAATGTTTTCTAGTCCAAAACCGTTATCGTCTAATGAAACCATCTCATTTGAGTTGGGCTTCAGTTATGAGAGCATGTGCACTGCTGTGTCTAGGGGGCAAGTCAGAATCTGAAGCAGTCCAGCAGGCCACTGATCTGGAGGACATGGAAGGGACAGAACAGCAGGAATGGAGTGGTTACAACGTCAAAATGGAGCATTACGACAACGCTCAAGCTCGAGGTATATTTACAGTTATCCTTTTGATGTTGTAGTGTTTTCACCTTCTAATGATGGTGCAGGCTAACGGATAACCTGCTGCCCAGGTGATGTTGGGAGCTTCCCAGAAGATTCACATGGTTTACAAGAAGTGGTAGAAACAGCTGATGGTGACTACCGTGTGAAGGATGTGAAGCTAGAAACTGGGCAAGCTTCAGCAGGTAAATTGATTTTTATTATGGCTCAGTGTAACTCAATTGACATCTGCAGGCTTATAGTTGTGAGATTGTAACCGAGGCCATCATTGTGGTTATTTAAATTGTTGGGATGTAACAGAGTAGCTGTTTTGTTCCTGCTATAACAATGTGGAATGCATACCATGGGCTCTGGTCGGTGCTCGTTTGAGCAGGTGGACACTGGTCTTTAACCTTAAATAATTTGAAATTATACATCAAAGTCCAGGGGACTAATACGTTATAAAAATGCAAACCTTTTTTCCACGTTCTCATCAAAACTGAAAATGTTTATTCCAACAGAATAGGACATGCCACTTTAAATGAGAAAACCGTACCATTTACTTTAAAGGAATTAATACAAATCTAGGCACAACTGTTCATCCAAGCTCGTAATTAACAAGCAACCAAGAACCCTACATATTTAGTAAGGGTCTCAATGGGTTAAAAGCAGGAAGAGATTAATCGATCACACTAATGGTAAACGATTCATTATAAATTAAATCTAACATTTGGTGAACAAGTGTACATTTATTTGTAGTTACATACACATATAAACTACTAATTTGTCCATTTTAGCAAACAGCTGGAATCAAAGCGGTGAAAATGAAACTGAAGCAGATGATGGTGGCCATTCTGAATCTTCGCGGCATCCATCTGAGACTGGGCGCCGCATGACGGAGCGGCAAGCGGCGCTGCACCGGCGGGCTGAGTTGACGAACCGGGGAAGCGGTGGTGAGGCTGGCAGCTGGTCCTCCCCCGTGGCCGCTTATCCACCCGGCGCCGCCTCACCTTGGGCGTCGAGGTCGCGTATTCAATCGCAGGGCAGCGGCGGTGGCCGTGCGGGGTCAGCACCACCCCGGGCTGCCAAACGGCGCAGGAGTGATTCAGGTGACCAGCCGTTCATCTGTCAGGAGTGCGGCACGTGCTTTAAACGCAAGTGGTACCTAGTGGCGCACGAGCGCAAGCATTCAGGTGTGCGGCCGCACGCATGCGAGCACTGCGGCAAGCGCTTCCTCGCCTCGCACGACCTGGTGCGGCATCGGCGCACGCATACAGGGGAGAAGCCGTTTGCCTGTCAGCTGTGTGAGAAACGCTTCTCCAGGTCCTATGGCCTTTCCTGTCACATGAAGACGCACGGTCTCGCGTAGGCGTCACATCTGGCTCCGTCAGGCCAATTGGAGAGCTTTACTTAGTTGGGGAGATTCTGCTTCAAGAATTGGGAGGAAGGTGTTCATGTTTATAAGTGAAAGTATTTTTTATTAAAAGATGTACATTGAGATGGTGGGCTTGAATGAACAATTTCCTTTGCCACTGAATTGTTTTCAGTGTTTCTCTTTACTATACTTTAATATTTCCACGTGCAGTCACAGTTATAATATAGGACCTTTTTTCAAGTGCTGTTGATATATACTTAAAAAAGTATTTCCTTAATCATTTACTGCGTACATTTCAATAGGCATCAATAAAAGTTAATCTGCTCAATACTTTGTTGGTGTGCAAACAGTCATGTTAGTATGAGGGATTGGGGACACCTTCAAATAGGTTCGGTTTGTTTTTAAGACCAGACTTTATGGGATAATCTGAAAATTGTGGATCGTGTCTGCACAAGTGTGGCATGTTAATTTTGGGCATTCTGTAATTGTGGGTACAACAGATGTTAAGTTGGTCTTGCATTTGTTAAAACTGCATTTCTCAAACGCCATTCATCATGACCCATACATGTTAACGCTACACCCTGCAGGTACCTGACCTTGTAAACGTGTCCTATGTGAGAACGGGCACTAATTCAAATTAAGATTCTCTAAATTTGAATTGGGACATATGTATATGATAGGAGATGTTTATCAATCATCAACGGTGTGTAGCGTATCTCAGCCTATTTGTGTTTGAATGGGAAATGTTGGTTCATGTGGAAGGCAGACAATGGGTTGCAAAGACTGCAGTTTATGAAACTCAGGCTTCAGAACAATTGCACTAGCTCTCCTGCATTTGAGGAATAGTGACGGTGCTTAGTGTGAGGCAGGTTTGATTGTACAATGATGCATCACTTTTAGTTCTCAGATTGAACTATTCTGAAATCAGCATCGCAAAGCACATGGTCTGTCACATCAGCCGTATTTGGATTATAAAGTGTGTAATTATTTTCCTGCCAACATTCTGTTTTTGTGCCACAGCATAAGGGATTTTAACAAACTTACTAATGCAGGTAAATGGAGCTAACTTGAAAAATAATAATTCTCAGCAGTGCTCTCTTTATGTTTTCATTCCACCAGGTCACAAGAAGATAATAGAATCTGATCCAGGTGAGCCTCAGCTGGGTGCTTCAAATTACGTGTCCAGAAGTTTACCCATAGGCAGCCACTCGAATTACGCTAGCTTCCCTTACCATGCAGACGTGCACGGCAGTAACAATAACAGTAGCAATAGCAACAATAGTAGCCTCTCGCTGGGCCAGTCGTGCGAGATTCCGACCTCCAGCCAAGAAAACGCCGCAGCATTGGACGCACTGCAGAGGGCGGAAGAGAGTCTGGAAAACGAGTCAAAGTACCGCGCGTACACGCAATACAGGACCATCGACGTCGCCGGTGGCAAAGAGTTCCAGTGCGAGCAGTGCGAGGAGTCATTTCCCCACCTACACATGATGCGGGTGCACCTGCGCAAGCACACTGGGGAGAAGCTGTACACATGCGAGTACTGCGGAAAGGAATTTATCATCTCCAACAACCTGGCGCGCCACCGAAGGACGCACACGGGGGAGAAGCCATTCGTGTGCGACGTCCTGCGGCAAGAAGTTCTGCATATCATACAGCCTGATCCGCCACAAAAAGACGCACGAACAGGGTGGGGGGGGCGAGCCTGAACTCGAGCCCGAAGTATTGGAGTAAAAAAGGAGAACAAGCGAGTGTTTCAAGAATAGTCATCTGGTCCAACCCATGTGAGACTAGGCTCTAAGGAAAGATGTCTCGGGTGTGGACCAATCAACTTCAAGGACAGTGCACATTATCAGAGTTATGTTCTTTTGTTTGTATTTTGACTGCAGGTATTGCGGTCTATGCAAACATGACTCCTTGTAAAAAGGTGTCAGTTTTGTTGCCAGATATAAGGGTAAAAAACCAATTATCATATTGGACAAACTTGTTACGTCTTTCTACCATCATGCTATAAAACTTACAAAACGGTAATTAAAGTCGGGATAAATGTATGTAATTTAGTTTTTAAACTGAGTAGAAGTCATCCTGTGGTGGCCTCTAAAAAGTCAGTAATGCCATAATTTTACTCGATAGCAAATGTGAATACACATGTGTGGCCATTTTTATTTACTTCATCGCAGCTGCAACAGAACTCCAAAATGGATTCCTCTGCCTAATGGAGGGCGAGCACATCTGGAAATGTTGGTCTCGTTGAGGCGTTCCATATAACTACAATTTTCTTAATCACAAATAAATACTGGAATTTGTGTGCTGTTGCTGGCTTGCATATATTCAAGTTTTTTTGTCAAATGCCTTAGTAATAGGTACCGAGTAGAGATAGATTATATACGATAACCTCGAGAGGCTAATCCTTTTTATTCAGAATGAATTACTATTTTTAGGACTTATTGTGAATGGATGTTAACAGGCATTTTTTTTTAAATGGGAAGTGATGGTGCATTACCTGCTGTTGGTGTTGACCCTACTTGGCAATACTGGCTTGACAATTGGGAAAATAAATACTCAGGGGATAATCACTAGATTTCAGCTTAACTAAAGGGGACATTTGGCACCCAGTATAGCTCCAAAAGTAAATTTGAAGGTGCAACTGGGTGGTGCCAAATTTGCAGACGAGAAACGACTTTTGGCAGCAGCTTCTGATAGCAGAAACCCCGTCTGTTTGGGTACCCTCATCACTCGAAGCAACCAAATAAGAACATGCTGAAATACAAGACACCACAACCACTACTGTACATATGAGCAACCTTAACCAGACAGAATCAAGTCCTTCATTATTGGTGGTACTACACCCTACATTTTCTGACACGTACCACCATTGATCTCTAAATGTATTTTTGCTGTTGTACAATATTCCTGTTGGCGTTAAAGTTAGGGACAATGTATACAAATGTTTTAATTGCATACGACTTGAATCTTTTTTAATTAACTTAAATGACATTAACCTATGGTAGGCTTTATTGTAAATAGTATGTGATGTTACAGCCACAGAAAAGAATTGGTAATACACTTTAATGTATTTTAATATTGATATTTTAGCTCTAGTGAGCTTGCCTTTCAATGAAATGCAAACTGCCCAAGAGATGCCCACTGCTGCTTTAGGCAGCTTTTAAAAACGGCAAAAAAATCCAATATTGAATGCTTCCACAGTTTTTAACCCTTGTGTTAAAACAAACATGTTGCTGGAATTGGTAGAATGCCGAACATTTGAATAGAAATACTTTTTAAGTGTATACATGACTGCATCTGTCCTTGCATGGATGAAGTTAACCAAGCTAATTAAGCATATGGTATAAATATTATAAGATGTAGTTGTCAATTTTCTTGCCCATTTGATAACTGCGCCACATTGTTATTTTGCCTTTATTTGTATACACCTGAAACCTATAAACTGCTTCAATATGCATGCTTTCTGTATTTGCAGTAATACATTGATATATTTGAGAATGTGTGAGCCTTATGAAATAAGGGATGACTTGTACAAAAGTTGTATATTTTAAAGATGCATAATCTTTCGACATTAAACATTGCTATTGTGTACTCAAACATTAAAAATGTCTGCTTAGTCTCAAACATGTAATGCAAACACTATCATACTACACTTTGGTCATCCGTACACGGACTCACTGGTTTCATCAATATATTGTCTTCAACAATGAAATAAATTGTCAGGTTTGCATTCCGAGAATTCAAACAAACCGAACCTCTTTTTGATGGGCCGAGTTAACCTTCGAAGATATGACATTCACATTGCTAGGTCAAGATTGGTCATCCTATGGAGAGGACAACCTTATGCTATAAGAATGTGTCGAACGTTCACTAACGGGCTCACGAATAGAAACGAACGTTCACCTCGTTTGCCTTTAAACCAGTATGACAGGTGAATACTACATAATTTTTAATGAAATACAAGCACAAACTAGTAATTTACACTGTCAATCGACTTCATGAATAGTTTTGAATAATTAGCCATTTGTCAATTCGCTGCTGGATAAAGGCTGAATGATGTTGACCCGTGGGGGTTGTTTGACAATGCATCGCCACGTTTGCTTAATGTGGCTTAGTGGAGGAGGCGCCTCAGGACTGAGTCCCTTATCTTCTGATATTAGCTGTGGCCAGGAATCGAACTTGTGACCTATGGCTCATAACTCGGTGCACAAACTTCTGCATTACAGCTCCACTCAGTTTTGAGTGGTAAACACGGGTATAATTATGCCTGCGTAACGATGCACCTGTGATAGTAAACCGGTCTCGTAAAGATTGCTTTCTGGTGGGTAGACGCGAATTATCCCAAATTTAGGACAAGTTTTACTTTTTGGAGCGCCTTAATGTCAGAACGTGGCAGCAGTGTCAGCACCATGGGGTCATCAACCTACCGCATGCGCCTCTTTAAGGCCCGTCTCGTATTCACATGAGTCGTGGCTTTTAAAAGTAGTTTTTTTTACTGAATTCGAAAACAAGTGGTCGTCATTTCCGACCCCTGGCTTAGGCCATGGGACTTATTAATTGTGGGACCATCCACAGCCGGATGAGGCCGTGCCAGGCGTGGACACCAGAGGGCGCCCCGAGCATGATAATTCCCAGAAGTGACGACTGCTTTGGTTTCATCAGCCGCCCTTTCTCCAGTTGTGGGGGTCGTAGTTGAAGGGACGAGGGAGAGGGGAGTGGTTATACAGTAGTCCGAAGCCGTGGACGGCTCCTGTAGAACATAAACAAATACCGACACAGTCTACTGAGAAGAGTTCACCCGTTGCAGCCGTGCATGAAGGGAGCGAAAACACGATATGCCTTAGTGTTATTTAGCAAAGCGTGGCCCCGCCTGGGTCTCTATTGTGACTTGGGGAATGCGGACATTGGTGCAGCCGTTTCTTTGTTGTTCTTTGTGGGGGTTTTCTTTTCAGTGATGAAATTTTGATTGCCTGTGCTCAGCTCAGTTTCAGCGAGTAGATCAGACCACCCATGGCTGTCGACATCCCTCGTTTGTTTCAGGAGCTCGCCCTGGATGATGCGACGTCCTTCACAGGGAGAGGGACAGGCCCTTGTGGCATGAGGGGCAGGTGCCCTCAGGGCACCCAGGGACATCCTCTCTTCCCTCGGGGAAGCCGAGGGTCAACTAACCACCGGGGAAGTCGAGGATCAGGTCACCCTCAGGGCACGAGGTCAGTCAACCACCAGGGAACTGTAGGGTCAACTAACCACCGGGAAAGTCGAGGATCAGGTCACGCTCAGAGCACGAGGTCAGTCAACCACCAGGGAACTGTAGGGTCAACTAACCACCGGGAAAGTAGAGGATCAGGTCACGTTCAGAGCACGAGGTCAGTCAACCACCAGGGAACTGTAGGGTCAACTAACCACCGGGAAAGTAGAGGATCAGGTCACGCTCAGAGCACGAGGTCAGTCAACCACCAGGGAACTGTAGGGTCAACTAACCCAGGGAAAGTAGAGGATCAGGGCCGTCACGCTCAGGGCACGAGAGGGTCAGGTAGTCAGGGAACTAGAGGGTCAGGTCACCCTCAGGGAACGAGAGGGTCACATTACCCTCACAAGACCATAGGGTCAGGTAACTTCCATGGCACCAGAGGATTATGTAACTCCCAAGAAATCCAAGGATCTTATTCGAAGGACTTGCATGGATGTTCCTACCCTCGGGGCACCCAGGGACCGATTGGCAGTCAGGGAAAAACACGGCGGTGGCCTTCTCAGGGCTCGGAGGTGCAAAGTTGCTTCAATGTGGCTCCCGAGGGCAGCTACACACACGGCAGCCCTCACAGCAGCAACGTCCAGGGCCAACAGGGACACGGAGGCCACCAGCAGGGCAGCAGAGGCCATGGCAGCGGAGAGCTGCCCAGAGAACCCCAAAGGAATGGGGGTTCCATGATCCAGCAGAACCATCAGACCCAGCACGGCGGTAAACGTGGCGACAGGGGTCCCAAGAAGCTGTTGTTTCTGCTACGAGGACCTCCGGGCTCTGGCAAGTCAACACTGGCAAGGTACTGGGATGGATGGCCAGCGTTCAGTTGCATAGTTTATGTAAGATGTTCAGTACTTTTTAAAATCCCACTGCAGGATGGGGGTTGACGTCATGCAGGTCATCATCACGATCCATGGGCATCAGTCCGTTGGTGGCCACTGCAGATTTCGTCATTTGTTGCCACTTTCCTCTGCCTCGTGCCAATATATTGAAGTAGTGCCACATCTTTCTGGCACCAATATCTTATGTTGTCAAGCTATTATATCTTGGTTCTTTCGGGGAAATAATAAAATAAAAATATATTTTAAAAAATTCTCACGACGTTTCGACTGCAACACAAGCAATCATCATCAGGTGTGAAATCCACAGCAAATTTTCCACAACAAATGTCCTTACAATCATCATCAGGTGTGAAATCCACAGCAAATTTCCACAACAAATGTCCTTACAATCATCATCAGTGTGAAATCCACAGCAAATTTTCCACAGCAAATTTCCTTACAATCATCATCAGGTGTGAAATCCACAGCAAATTTTCCACAACAAATGTCCTTACAATCATCATCAGGTGTGAAATCCACAGCAAATTTTCCACAACAAATGTCCTTACAATCATCATCAGGTGTGAAATCCACAGCAAATTTTCCACAGCAAATTTCCTTACAATCATCATCAGGTGTGAAATCCACAGCAAATTTTCCACAGCAAATTTCCTTACAATCATCATCAGGTGTGAAATCCACAGCAAATTTTCCACAACAAATGTCCTTACAATCATCATCAGGTGTGAAATCCACAGCAAATTTTCCACAACAAATGTCCTTACAATCATCATCAGGTGTGAAATCCACAGCAAATTTTCCACAGCAAAATTTCCTTGCTGTGGATTTCACACCTGATGATAATTGTTTGTGTTGCAGTCGAAACGTCGTGATAATTTTATTGTTGTATATGTTTATTATTTTAGTATTTCCTTTCTACGCGACTTTACCGAAAGAACCAAGAATATGAATCCCTGCAGTCACGAAAGCTTTAAATCAAATTTTGTCAAGCTATTGTTAGGTCTTCCTCTCTTTCCGGTGTGGTCAATTAATCCTCACGATCATGCAGTGGCAGATGCGGATACCTGATGCACAAATGTAAAATAAAATAAACACTTCAGTGTGTGACTGTGGCCATCCAGAACCGACCATGTATATAACGATGCAATGCCCGATCCACAAATATGAAGGGAGACATCACAGCGATACATTTCGCTGCTCCTGCTACAGTTGTGTGGCCTGACCACCTGAATGTTGCTCTGCATCTACATCAGCCATACGAAGGAAGACCAACACGTTAGCGAGAGTGCGTCACGGTGGCGAGATGTTTAATATATTGCCTGGTATGCAATAGGTCTTTGGAATTTTTATGTTCTCCCCGTAGTCGCGTAGATTGCTCTCCAGGTCCTCCAGTTTTCCCCTCCACGATTAGAAACATGCATTGAGTATTTGCCTGCCCTAAATGTCCACACGATGAGCCACTTCGTTGAGCTATCATTTGTGGCCAGGTCGCTTCTGAAAAAGATTTGTAATAGCTCAGTGAACTTTACCTGGTAAAATAAATAGTTGGTCTTGTTTCCAATAGCATCCCAGGTATTGACTCGGCCCGGACAGCACTTCATCTCCCCAAGCTGCCTCGTCACGCGACTGCCCATGTGTGTCTTGGGAAGGGCAGGGCCTAATGTACTGCCCGTCTGCCCTTGGCAATCATGCATGACCTTGTGACCCTACTATTACGCAATTCTAAACACGCTTGCCACAAGTTGGTGCCAATGTACGCACAACTTACGACCAAAGCCACACCTGTTTTAACATCGATAAAAACGTCTGAAAATAGGAACACGTTGAAATGTGTTTTTGCAAATCTCTAATCCAATAAACAAACAAAAATCCAAAACTCTTCACCGAAAATAATGAATATTAATTCAAGATTTGAAGCTTTCGTGACTGCAAGGATTCATGCTGTTAGGTTTTTTTCGGTAAAGTCACGTAGGTAAAAAATAAAAGTTAATAAAAGTAATAAGGAAATAAAATAAAATAATAACTTCGTGATTTATT